ATCTTATATAATTTGGTACTTTATTTAAAATACAATAAAAGCATATCAAATAGTTCTGAATGATCAAATATATAATATTTCCAAATCTGCTCGTTGAAAAATTATGAAATCAGGAGATAATATATTTTTGACAAATTTAGGAGAAATATAATTCATAAAATTCAAAATCATTGAAAACAGAAGTAATTGATTAGTCACTTACAATGAATAGAATAAAATCTGTAACAAAAATGACTAATAAATATGATATATAAAGATTTTTTCTTCTTCCACTCTTTTTTTTGCATGGCCAAGCAATTAATCGTCCCTCACCTAGTAGAAAGTCGGTAATTTAATTTTTGTCTTTTTTTTTAATTATATTTAGCTGTTATCTCATTGAATTTAAATTTAATTTAATGTAAACTTTGGCTCTTAATATTAAAAATAAAAAAGAAAGAAAACTGGCACATCGAAGTCACCATAAGCTTACAATTAAAGTACAATACTATACTGCCTCCATTATCACAAGTGGTTCTCTCTATCTCCATTATTTAGATTGCGGGATCAGATCAATCAAATGTCACAATAAAAATGTTTTTATTGTACAACTGCTTGCTTTGATGTGCGCTTTGGGGGCATAATTCTGTGTGGATACAGGACGGTTCTTCCATCCGATTATGTTTAGATATCAAGCTCAATATCGAGCAGTATATATCAAGCAGTATCGAGTGCAGTTTATTTTTGAGGTGATGCGACAAATTTTTATTAGTCTCCGGATATCATCCGGACTCCGAACAGAATAATCAATCTTACTTTGGGGCCATGATAAGATTTTATTCCTAAGGATTTATGAGCAATTTTTAAATTTATTATATTAACATTTTGAGTTGTGTTAGGTGATAAAATATATCATTAATAGTTAAATTTAATCTAACAAAAATTAATGAAAATATTAAAATGAATGAAATCTACCTCAAAAGAATAAGACGAAAATTATGTCGAGATATTATGATTATTTTTCGTCATAAGATGTTTAAGTGTTCTTAAATTTGCACTGAGAATAGTATTATATATTAATATCAGTGTAAATTTAATAACAGATAGATCTATTCTAACGAAAAATTCATCAAAATATTCTAACGTAATATTTTTTCAAAGAACAACAACAAAGTCCTGGAGAAATTATTATGTGCGGACATCAGACTGTCTAGAGACGAATGAGAGCACACCATGTCATCCGATACACATAAAAAAATGACATTCCACACTTTCATTCGTCTCAGGATGGTGTCTGGTGTACGCACAGACTAATTAATCCACTATCATGCAAATGCACGGATAAATGGTGCAACCAATATTGCATGGTATGCCATATAAATAATTTGAACCATAAAAATACGTTATTTAATGACAAGTAGACTCCCATCACCTAAAAATATTAAATATAATCATGATACTCTTAGAAATATTCATCCTGAATGAGAATGATATAACACCTAACTTTTATTTAAAAAAAAAACAGTGAAGTATAAAACACCAGATATTTGATATGATATTTCTACATTTATGTTAATTATTTAATGTTTAATTATATTTCAAGTTTAATGATTAAAGTTTCATATTTAATTATTTTTTTAATCTAATATGACAAATTTAATAATTGCATGGGATATGTTAAAAAATGGAGTGATCCAAATTTATAGATCTGAGCATATCTAACATAATAGAATAAGGTTTCTTTGTGACAACTTATTTATTATTTTGTTTTTTGAGTTCATAACCATATTTTTTATTTGCTCCGCTTTTTCGTTGCTTTCAATAATTTTTTTGAACTAGGAAGATGCTTTCTACAACAGCTTTTAAAAAAGCTATTTTATTCATAGCAATTTTATAAACATATTTATAAAAAGTTACAACCGTCTCAAAAAAAAACTAAGATTTCATTTTGAATAGTTCTCTTATTGATTTCTATACCAACTTTGTAGTATAATTTTTTTTTGAAATCAAAGAAAAAACTGTTGTCAAAAGTCATCATAAACGAAGCCTAAGAATATGTAGAGCTTTTGTCACTATGGGACATAATGACATGACTCTTTTTTTAATAAATTAGAATGGCCTAATCATGTTTAAAATGAAGCAAAAGTTGTCACAAGATTGCAGGAAATAAACGAATGTTTTACTATGGCTGTAGATAGAGCCAAAATGTCATATGGAGGCATCAGTCATGTGCTTCAAGTCTCTTTATATTTTCTAGGGGTATCAATTTTTGGTCATGGTTGGTTCGGGTCGAATCCGGAACTAACCCGACACTATTCCGGTCAAGTCGAACCGACCCATTTTTTTACAAACGGGTCAGTTTTTCAAACACGAACCTGACCCGCTTCGGGCTCGGGTCAACCCGACCAGTCCCATAAGTCAAATCTCGCAACACCGCTTTGGGTTCGGCAATGGCAGAAATTGTGTAACTTCGGCATCGAAAATGGCAGCGGAAGTTGATTCGACGCGGCGACGCACGACAACGTTTACGGATGACAGACACAATAGCCACAGCAGCTCGCAGGCAGTGACATCGAGGTCACAGGCACTGGGTAGTCGTCGGACTCGGGGCAGGCTACGCGGCAGTCGACATGCGAGGCAACGGGGTAGGCTAAGCGGCAGTCGACATGCTAGGCAGCAGGGCAGGCTACGCGGCAATGGTTTGATGGCCAATGCGACGCGGGCGCTCCATTGGTCCAGGGCCTAGGCGCTATTGTTCCAGCACCAGGGTGCTAGTTCATTTTTCAAATTCCAGAACTCACAACATTGGGGGGCCAAAAATCACAACAACACGTTACTCCAAGGAAAAAAATTAGATTTCACATCCAAAAATCACACTCCGGAGGCAGCGGGCAGTGCGGGCGGGGGCAGCGCGGAGCGGGCGGGAATCCAAACTTTTTAAATTAAACGGGTTTTCGGGTTGACCCGGCAACCCGTCGGGTCCACCCGAACCCGACCAGTTTTGAAATCGGGTCGGATCCAACTCAGATTTTTCGGGTGGTCAGATTTTCGTGTCGTGTCAAATATTGACACCCCTAACAATGATTTTTAATTACTTCATATAAGTTTTACACATAAATATTTGCCCAACTTCTATAAGCATAGATGAGAGACTCCACTATGGGATCATTATATCAACATCTACTATATTAGATATATCCATATGTTTTTCATCTTTTTTTTTTTTTTGCTTTCGAACCTATTATACATGAAGAATCATGAGAATTCACTCATTTACAAATTTCAACTATATCACATTATGGCGTTAACATTTTTAATGGTCAATTTAGTAATGAAGCATATATGGAGCCATCATCATGTATGTCTTTTACATCACCTTTATTTGCTCTTAAATCAATTTAGATTTTGATAAGTGATGGTGTGCATCAATATTATAAGTGATAGTGTGTGTTAGCTTAGGTAACAAAATCAATGGGCTTCAGTTTAGCCAAACGATGATTTTCAAAGGATAACAATCAGATGATTGAGATTGGAGGATCTATCGTAGTTAACAATGACAGTTGGAGTATCATAGTTATACAATGATGATCAGATGATCGTAATTGGATGGTAGTCAAAATACTATAATTAGACGACAATGATCGAAGGATTGTAGTCAAGCGATCGATGGTGGTAGTAGGATTATAATCAAGCAATGATGATTGAAAGATCTTATTTAGGCGATGGAGCTTAGAGGACTCAAGCTAGACGCAGCGGAAATTATTAGATAATATAGGTAAATAATTAAATAAATAAAATTAAAGTATAAGATAATACATCTAAATTATTTGAAATTCACAAGTATAATTATAATATAAAAAGTATTGTGAATGCAATAATTTAATTATATTGTCTAATAATTTAATTGGTTCAATGTCAGAATATTCACAGTGATAGAGAGAGTATAACATACATATATAGTCGTAAGAGATACCAAAAATTTTACACGAAAAAATTCTAAAAAGGAAAAAATCACAGGGTCCAACCCAACGCAGTTGTAATAATTTTACTAAAATTTGTCATCAATTATAAATAATGCCCTTCACTATGATTGATGTAGAATTTGATACAGTATAGTGGATGTTAGAAGATCCCTAGCATAGGGAAAAATTATTAGGTGTGGAGTGTTCACCGTCCGCACGAATATGAGTACCTAGCGGTAACCAGCGGTACCAAGTGCCGGTACCTAGCGCGGAATAAGGCTTGTGCTGACGGTTCTCCCCGTCCGCACTCTGCACCAAATAATCTCTCAAAGGAGCTATATTCAAGAAATTGTTTGATATATGTTTGATCATTCTCTTTTAAGGAAGGAAAATCAGAGACTAAGAAATTTAGCACATTTTATGTGCTTATGTTGGTAATCATGATTGGTGGATGGTGGGATCAATCTCTTAAGCAATGATGTATGATTTTTTAAGTATGTGTGAAGGGCGATGAGAGGCGAAATATACATGATATGATAGTGGTTCGACAGAGAAAGTTGAGGTGATTCGATGGACCTCCATGATTTTTTCAATATATAAGCTTTATTAAATTTCAAGCGAATGATCTCCTTCATATAGCGACTAGAAGTTCATTTATAATTTGTAAATATAATTAAAATATAGTATAGTTCATCAAATGATTCATACTAATTTTTTATTATATTTTATATTTTTAGTATTTAGGTGCCTTTATGACGTGGAATTAAGCAATTTTACTATTTGTGTTTAAATTGAATTTAAATTTAAAATATCAATAAAAATTTAAAATTAAATATAAAATAACTTTTTTTGGAAAATAATATAAAATAACGTTACGTAATGGTTTTGTCACAACACGTGACAGAGACACGTGCGCCGCACTTATACTAAATAGCGGGACCCACAGCACCAACCAATCCGGAAAGAATATACGTGTTGTTATGTGATTGATATAAATACGCTGTTCGGTGAAGTATAGTACCTATCTGATTCAGCTACTTTGAGTTTGTCCTCCCGAGTACGATGGGAGCTTTGAGTTTGTCCTCGCTCTCGCTTCTCCTATTTCTTCTCGGAAGACTTCTTGTTCTTGGAGCGGAAGATGGACTAGCCGTGAGAGTTCAGTTGAGATAGAGATAGAGTGAGATGTACGCGGGAGCGGCAGAGGTGCGAAACTTTCGCCCTATGGAAGGCGAGCTCCGGCGATGCTTTCCCAGTGATCTTGGCGGCGATGCCCCTCCCATGGTACTTTCTGGCACTGTTCTTCTAGATTGCCTTTGACCCTTGCCACCATTGATAAACTGAGAGGGAAATTAAAGGTGGCGGCAACTTGCTTGCCTGTTTAGGGCGTTGGTCATTAGGATCCCGGGAGAGAACGATTGGTTTTGGTGGAAAGGGCGAAACGCTTCCCCATATACTTCTTGTTTTGATACCGAAAGAAATGCGCTGGGTCGCAGTTCCGAAAATTAATTTCATATATAAAATGGGAGAAGCTTCTTCTGATTTTTTGCGGTGTAGCATATATTTGTTAGATAGTCTTGACACTTGAGGAAGGGCTTCTGGAAGGCTGAATCCAATATAGTAATCCGGCATTTGCATGAAATCAGAATCGTCTTTTATTTTTAGATTCGTGCCATATTATTTTCCTGTTTGGGTGAATTTTTTTTATTAAATGAATTGAGGAGAAATTCTGCTGTATGCATCAATAGTCATTTTGCTTGTAACCTTAATGATTGAGGTTATTTGTACGTAGAAACATATAAAATTGGATGACTACTAACTGTTGGATGCCTAATTTGTTTGTTTGTTTGTTTTTTTTCTTTGTTTGAGTACATTTTATGGTACAAAATGATCTGGCTTTTATGTCTATGCTCTCATCCTAGTGCCGTTTACTTATTGTTGAGGTCCAAATAAGAGTCCATGAGATTGTCACATCAAATATGAAATAATCGTTCATTTCCTAAAGTATTAGTAGTGTCTCTTGCCTATTAGCTTAAGCTTTTGGATTAATGGATGCCCATCTTTTACTATATTGAGTTCAACTTGTCCCCCATGTTTCACTCTCCTAACAATACATTATATCAAACAATTAGAAAACAGGGCTGAATGATGGGCGTTATTGATTGTTCTGGTTTTTCTTGTACTTTCTTTTCAATTTAATTTATTTTTATTGATCTTGGTTTGAAAGGACAAGGGTTTGCTTGAAAACCTAAAATATTCCTTTTAGATTAAGCAACTTGCTTTTATAAAAATAGTAAGCCTATCATTGCTATGATGAATGATTCAATACTTTTTAGTATTATGAGCCATCTTTTGTTTACCATACACATATATTAATGATGTAATTTTTAATAACTTTTAATGTGAAGCTTTAGCCCATTATGCTATTTAACTGTTTCCAAATCTAGAATGTGTTACTGTTCATTTGAAATTAAATATGTTGCATTTGCTTAATACTGAATTATTGACTGATTGGAACTTTTTAGAATAATGTAATTTAGTTTTTGAAGCATGCTCTAGTTGGGTATTTTATACAATGCAAGATAGGAGTTATCCAAGATTTTTGTTCAATTTCTACTCCATTAAAGTGTTCTCATTTAGATGTTGATGCAAAGAGAAATTTGTTAGGTGCCATTGAATAGATTACAGTAAACAAGTCATTAGTAAAGTAGGTACCATGGGTGCAAATGAGATTAGACATGTTTTATTTTTTAAATGAAATTTTTGATCTTAAAAGTGATATTAGTAAAGGTGTTAATTCTGGTTGGCAAGTTGGGTTTAGGTCAAACCATTGGTTGAGCTAACCTGAATATTCTTGACTTGAATTCGACCCATTTGTTATGTGGGTCAAAATATTTGACCAATCTAATCCATTTGTTATGTTGGTCATATAATTTTTTAGATCAACACAACCAAATTAACTCATATATGACTCGTTTAACCTAATAATATACATGTATGCTTTAATATTGTGTTTCTAGCTTTTCAAAATCGACACCTGAATGATAGATCAATTTTTAGTTGATTTCCAGTTATTTGGGTCAATCTACCAAAATTTTCAAGTCAGGTTCATATCAAGTTGTCATATTGGGTAATTTATTGACACCCATGAATCAATTTCATTACATACCACAATGAAGAAAGTTGATTTTATTTAAATTGCTTATTGGATATCAACCAATGCTAGGATCAATTGGAGCTACAATTGATTGCCTTGTTTACCTGACATTAAATGTCTTTTGTTTTAAATTTTTTGTTATTAAAAATGGAAAAATCATGTTTTAGATTAATCTTTGATGAAGCACAACCTTGTTGCAAGAGGTTTGTGTAGGATATCTAGTAAAACCTTGGAATAATTGGTGTTGCACAAAGTGATAATAATGGTGCGGTCATAAGGATCTACCTAGGAAAGCAAAAGGATGCTCTGAATGGCCAAGAATAAGAGTCAAGATAAAGATCGATCATAAATATTTTGCATTTTATATTTTCATATTTATGTTTAGTGTGTATAAAAGATTTATATTGTTGCATTTGTCTTGAAAACTCCATTCATAAAATTTTTTAGGAGCTTCAAATCTTGAATATTTTTTAATTTTAAAATGTGATATACCTAGGAAAGCAAAAGGATGCTTTGAATGGCCTAGAATAAGAGTCAAGATAAAGATCTATCATAAATATTTTGTATTTTATATTTTCATATTTATGTTTAGTGTGTATAAAAGATTTTTATTGTTGCATTTGTCTTGAAAACACCATTCATAAAAATTTTTAAATTCGAGTTTCAAATCTTGAATATTTTTTAATTTTGAAATGTGATATTTTTAATTTTAACTTGATTTTTGAGAGTTATGTTATCAATTTAAATATAAATTGATTATTTGAATTTTCATTAATCAAATAACCAATTTGCAGCCAAGTTGGTACCATCCACTACTCCAAAAGGAGGAGTTGCATCTCTCTCAAGAGGTGCTTCCACCCCCATGACATCCTTTCACCAAAATCGGCCCTAACCTCTCTTTTTTCTTTGTTTTTTTTAAATTATTTTCAAGAGTTGTAAGAGATTACAAGTATTTTATGTTGATAAATAAAAGGTGGTTGTTGTTTTTGTGCTACAAAATTTGGAGCTTATTCCAAAGAAAAGGGGACTTGGTGGCCGACCCACCATTGAAGTCGTTTGGTTATTCCTTTAAGCTTTGCCACTTTGGCAAGTGATAAGTACTCTATCACCTTAAAGCTTTCCTATCTTTTGTTATAGAACTCTTCTACCCTTATCCCCTCATACTTTCATGCTATTTTACCATCCATTTCAATACAAAAATCCACTCAAAGCCCTAAGTAGGTCTCTAAGCCGAAATATACTCCTACATGCTAAATAATAAAGAAAATGATGGCTTGAAAAAGGAGAAATGAGTAAAATTGCATTGCCGATGCACAACAAATTAAGCTCAATGTGCTGCTAAACCGCACTATCAGATTCGCAACATCCGTATAAGCAGACAATAGGCATTCACCGGCTCTTCAAGGAAGCTCATGTCACGGCCCGGCCCAGTGAGCTCGCATAGGCGAGGCGGGAACGGATGGTCGGACGGTAGGTCAAATATCTAATTCCTAAAACTATCACCTTAACATTTGAAAAAGTATCCAAAACATCAAATTGAAAACACATAAACATAAAATCAAGCATAATCATAAAATTACCTTTCCTTAGGCGCTCCTCTCCTACGATAAACATTGCCACATCTTCTACTCATTTTTTATTAGTTTAAGCTTACCTGAAAAATGTTAACAATTAACATTAAGCCGAAGTTCAGTAAGTAAAACGCAGTTCTAAACTACAGTAATCAAGGAAAATTGCTTAATATGCTGGATGTTACATATGAACATAACATAAAATGATTTCCTAAAAGCATGCCATTAAATATATCATATCATAAAATTATATCTTTCAATTTCAATTTCATTTTCATTTTCATATCAATATACTTAGCTTTCTCATTTCGTATATATTACAACCGTCACAGGAGCCACCGTTTAGTACCATAAATGTACTCCTTTACCATTTTTTTTCCATATCCTTTACCATTTTAACGTGCACGAGTAAAGCGTCCCCAGCTAGTACCATAAGGGGGTGAGCTCCATCATTTTAGCATGCACATACAAGCATTCAATATAACATTCATATCATTTCATTTAACATATAATCTCTATCATATAATGCAATAAAATATAACATATAATTTGCATGATCAACCATTTGACAAGAGTAATAAAATCAAGATCTAAATTAATTATAAAGATTGCATGAACGTGTTTGGACTTTCAAAACAAAAAACTGGAGAGAAACAAAAGTATTACTGTAATTAAGAATTGTGTATACTACCAAAAATTAGGAAATTGCTTCTCCTCGCTAATCCTCCTTCCTTCGAGGTCTCTTCAAAACACCTATAAAAATTAATTTTCTCCTTCAAAATTCTTCATAATAAATTTAAATTAATGTTCTCATTCTCTTCCTAATCACCCTAAGTTCTCTCTGTCCCTCTCCCTCTCTCCAAATGATTACATAAAGCAAGCATATATTCTAAAAATTCAAATCTTCACTGGCTTTCATGGTTGAATAGAATAGAAAACTAAGCAATTATATTACGTGTTGACTTCATACATAAGTTATACAGATTCAAAATTCGCAAAAATCATATGAATTGTTCAAGATAAGCGTTGACAAGCAGCAGAATGACTTTAATGCTTGTAATCATTCTTTCCAAGATACCGGAAAGAACTGATGATTGAACTCAACTGTGTTGTTTGAAACATAGTATGGACCAAATAGTCAGGGAAAAAAGCAATATATATATAACATGTTTTTTTTTTTGAATTTTTTTTACTATTAAATTCTAATTATTTTATTTTATTTTTTTCTATAGTTCAACCCATTCTACTCTGCTTCTCTATCTGAGTATGACGTGGCGGGAGATCTATTCAATGCACCAGAGCCCATCATTGAAGAACCTATACTTGAATTAGATCCTATTACAGCTGCAATCTGTATGATGTCAAGTGGTGAAGATGTTATTGCTGCCGAGGCAATGAACGTTGCGGATATAGAATCTATTCAAAGTGAGCATCTGTTCAGTGAGGTTTTCTATGACTGCAAAAAAGACCTCCTGGAGAAATCAGCAATCCAAGAATCGTTTTCTGAGCCACCAGATTTCAAGTCGCCTGCAGTGCTTATAGAAGGAGATTCTACCGGAGAGAATGATAGTTCTATCACAGGACAACTGCAAAAAAGTGTTAGTTCTGGATGCCTGAAATCAACTAAGTGGACTGCAGACAGCCCGATGAATTCGAACTTAGATGCATTACAAGAACTGAATCTTGAAGATGCATATGGGATAAGGAGGGCATACAGTGAAGGAGATATTCATGTAAGATGATTCCTGTGTTGAATTATTTTTTTATGTTTTTTATTCTGTAGTTGACAGTTGAAATTTTGCCTTTGACAAGATTTTGTGGAATAACATAACTTAAAAAAAACTAATCATGATAGATTTCAAATGTGCATTTGCTACAGCAGGACATTCAATAATCTTATTTCTTAATGATTAGCCAAAATATGCCATCATTCTTATTAGCAAAACTGGGGGGATATTAAAACCCAAAGCCGGTATTGAGAGGAAAGCTATGGATTACTGACTTCACAAAGCGTTATTGGATCCATTTCATCCGTTTGGAACTCATTTCTTATAGATTTTATGTTTTATATGATATTAAAAACAAGCTTTTATTATTTACGCCTGGTTTGCCTTGTGAAAAATGTTTAGCTAAATATTGCTACTGTTTTTTTTGTAGCCTTGAGAAAGCGTTATTTCACAGAAGAATGCTGAACTGTGATATTTGCTGAACTGAAATGAAAGAAGTATGGAAGTTTTCCCAAGATTATGGAAAGCCCAACTAATTGGGATAAGGTTGATGTTGCTTCTAATAATTCTAATGGTTATCATCACGACTATCATCACCATTTGCTTTATCCAACTATGTGGGATTGACTTTATGATCCATATTATGTTGTTCATATATGTCAGTTTGGCATGTGAAATTAACTAGAGTCTTCGAAAATATCTTTTCTTGGTCGTGTGCCTTTGGCATGACCATTTTCTTCTATTCATTTTCCTTTATGGCGTAGAACGTCTTTAGGTTTAGGATTTAGAATTCAAATCCAACATGCATGCTGAAAAGAATGCAATAAACACTCAAAAATTTGTATGAGACGAGCTATAGATCTTAAACAGTTATTCACTATTTTCAATAAAAATCATAAAACGTTAAAATCCATCTACAAATTTTATGGCATTCTGTTACAAATTAGCAATAAAATTAACTAGAAATAATACATAAAAATGATTATATTGTAGGAACAGTTAGAGTGTTATCTATCAAAGATAAAATACTTAAAAATAAACTTTGTGTGATTCACATGTACAGCAATGGGTTAAAAAGTGAAACCAAGTAGAGGTAAAATTAGTGTCTTGATGAGTAACAGGCTTGTTATTTGTCTGCGTAGTAGGTGATTTGCTCATGGGTTGACAGTCTGGCTAAGTTGCTATCTTTGTTATTTTTTTTATGAGTAACAAGGTTATACCTCATCGTTGATGCAATGATTAGGAATGTCTCTGTCATTAAGTTGTGCTTATTATGTTTTTTTTTTTTCTATGTTATCAAGGAAAAGGTCAAAGTTATTTTTCATGTAATACTTTTCTTATACTATAACCATTATTTCTATATCTTTTTTTTTTCATTTTTTGAGTCATGTAAATATTCATTAATCTCCTAAAGCTTTCCATCTAACTAAAATAACTTATCTTCTTACATGATCTTATTTTACTCTTTGGTTTGTGAATATGATTACCTAAGAAACACCTTTATAGGAATAAATATTCTTAGATATGATAGATAAACTATGGCACCTTTTTCCAAGGTTTGGCACATTTTATGCTTAGATTTTAATTAATTATGCTTGCAAAAGGGTCTGTTATTTATCCATCTACTTTGCTTTCCCTTTTAAACTTTATTAATGATTTATCTTTTTGTTGTTTGTTTATCATTTGCTACTAAAAGTTGAACTCTTAAATGTTTAAAGCCATGAACTAAGGGGTTGCATGAAGGATGACTTTTGAATATTTAAGTCGTGAATAAAAAATGTTTGATGTAAGATTGAGATGATTTCATCTAATTTATACATGTCAAAAATTGATACTTAGCCATGTCCATTTGAAGTTGAGTAAAACTATTTCACATATCTATTTCTGCAACTGATTGTCCTTCACCTGAAAATAATATTATAAACTAGTATGATACCATTATGAAATTTATATGATGCTAGTAAATTCTCATGAGTGTCTGGTGCATGTATTTAATATATTAAATCAATATTATATTCTATTTCGAAAACATTGATAATGCTTTTTTTCATGAACTTTTCCCTCATATTGTTGAATTTTAAATAATTTTTTGTATTATTTTTTAATATTTCATGCTATTTTTTAAATGGAATGCATGGCACTGCTTTGTTATGCACTATGGTTGCACAGGACCTTTGCACTATAATTTGCCATTCACCACTAACAAATATGTTTGGACATCCCCAACATAATTATTCTCGTATTTTTATTATTTTTATCTGTTATCATTATGAAGCCTATATAAATTAATATAAATAAATTGAGAAATGCAGTTTAATTTGTAAAATCTTTTATTTTTTTAAGTATGCATCGGTAAAAAATTTTGTAATATATTTGCCAAGTTTTTGCTCAAAGGTGGATGACGGTGTTGGTTTTCAAACTATATTGTTTTTATTTTTTTCCACCAGAAAGTTCACAGAAGGAGAGCTATTACGACGTAGGTGAGGATTGAACCCAAGACCTTAGCACAACTTTCAAGGCCCTTACCATATATACTAGTTAGCACCCACTTCAAACTATAATGGTGCTTATCTGATGAGACTCAGGCTTCGTTTGGGACAGTTTAAATTTTTGTACTAAAAAGCTGCTTTAAGAAGCAGTAAGAAAACCGTTCCAAACAAAGCCTCAGTCCATTAGGTGACCCTTTTTATTAGCCCGTACTCATTAAGGCCAACTAAGTATGGCATCTAAATAGTTGAACTTCAAGGCTTAAAGATGGGACAATCCGGCCTGTCCCAGTCCGTTTGACAGACCTTCACATACCTTCCACTAGATTTCCTGGATTGAACTTACCAAAGATGCTCAAGGAAGGAGATTAGAGGCATGCAAAAAAGCCAAAAGTATTTACTTGATTCAATGCCATTCATTTGTCAGTCTTTGCCTCATAGATGCAGCCAAAACATTTTTATAAGTCGTTTGTTAGTATCCAGGCGAGATAGCTGATCCGTTTCCCTTATAAAAAAGGGGAACAGAACAGGTCAATCGAGAAAAAAAGGAACTTAAACAAACAAAAGGAGAAAGGAAGAATTCAAATCTTTAATAACTCAAGAATTTACTGATTTTCAAGACCAAGTATATCAGCCACTTTGTACCTCTCTCATATAGAATCTCTATATTTCTTCCTAGGAATATGACTTGATTATATGAGTTCATATATTAACTATTTCTTGAATTATATTGAATGTCATTGAATTGTATGTTTTTTGTGACAGATTCTTAAAAATTGTGGATCAAGCCTTAGAGACCAAATCACTGTTCATTCTTCTTTTGAACAACTTGAAATTCGTGACTTGAAGATTGAAGAAAAACTAATAGAAGAGCGAAAGGAAAAGATTAACAGATACATGAGGAAGAAGACGCGGAGGAATTTTGGCAGAAAAATCAAGGTAATCGTAATAGCTGTACTAAAGTTACCCATTTTAGTAACAATTGGTTGTTTGCATTCAGTCACCTTTGAATCTGATACAATATAGAAACAGTTACAAATGACTTCACAAAATTTAGTTCGTTCGTATGTTGATTCTAAACTAGATTGATTATTTAGTTTCATTCAATTTTTTTTAATTAAAATCTTGATACTTGAGAAACAATTACAAATGACTTGATCATTTCAGTTGGTTTGCATGGAAAATGGAAACTACATTGATTATTTAAGTTCAGGTATTGATGATTATCATCATATCATGTATAGTCCATTTATCAATGGAATTTTGCCCTCTGGGAAACTTCATTTTGATAAATTATTTTATTTTTTACCTATCTCTATCCAAAGCAATGCAATCCCATCATTTGATGGTTTATATTAAACTGTTGAAATTCTACTTTAAAATAATATTTGTTATGGTTATCATTTTTGTTATATAAGCACTTTCCTAGGGGTGTTAATATTTCACCCGACCCGAAAACCCGACCTAACTCAACCTGAAAATTTCTGGTTCGGGTTGACCTGACCCGGGTCTGGTTGGGGTTGGAGTTTTTGACCCGTTTCAAAAAACAGGTCGGGTTAGGGTCATACTCTCTTGAAGCACGCAATAAACTCCAAATCAGATCAAAAGATGCAAGGAAAAAAATAGGATATTGGGTAAATGAATAGCCAAATAGGCTCTTATGAAATCAAACTTGTCTCTTGTTTTGATTGTCCATTAAAGTAAAATTTTTCTATGACTTGCAGTATCTATGCAGAAAAGCTTTGGCTGACAGTCAGCCGCGCGTGCGGGGCAGGTTTGCAAAGAGCGAAGCATGTGAGGCAGCAGCAAAACTTCAACACATATAGAAGATTTTATAATCAGGGAATATGGGCTTTAATGCACTCTCCAAAATCTGTTTGAAAAATAGGTAAATGACCATTTTGTCATATTGCTTTTGCCTTTATCTATATAGATTAAAAATAAGGACAAAATGATCATTATAGCAGTAGCCAGTCATTAGTATTTCTAATATATTTGCTTTGGTTAGGAGCTTCAAGCCCTTTAGCTGTAGCAGAGTCTTTTGTTTGTAGGCCTGCATGAAGGTGGGTCAATGTAAATATGTTATTTAATTTTTATGCCCTATGTGGGTAAAACAATAAGGTACTTTGATCTAAATTATAGAATCTTGTCTTGCAATAGTTGAACCATTTGTTATGTCTTTCGAAAATTAAACTAACAAGCACTCATTTAAAATTAATAGTATACTAAAATCTCGTTTGGGGTGTCTTTCTTATTGCTTTTTTAAATAACTTTTTAGTAAAAGAAAAATATACTAAAAGCAGCTTCAGGAAGTAGTAATATAGCCGTCCGAAATAAAGCCAATGGCCGAAGTTGCAAAATTAAACTAACAATTATAAAATGAGCATTAGCTGGTACTACAAATATACAAAATTATGATGATTTATCATGTTGATTTCTTACTTTATGATTAGGTGTATATTTGTTGCATCCAAAATCTCAATTAATAGAGGAATTTGAGGTAGATTAACAAGAGAAAAAAATGAAAATTATTATATATGATTTTGGTGATGAATGTGATGAAAAATATAATGAAATTGGATGTCTTAGTTTATTTGCTAAATTCCTTAAAAAGCGTGATATATGTGCTTAATAAAATGAATGGTTTTGCATGCTTTGAGAAATATAATGGATGTGAGTAAAAATATGTTAGAAATTCTTCTTTATTCTTATTACTGCATGGTACTAAGTTTCAAAAACTCTTTGAATAATTGAAGGGAATGAAAGTAAGTTTTTGAGGCACTTAAATGAAAGAATTTAGAATTCACATTAATAACTAAGATGATAATATCAAATGTAAGAGAATCAATTGTAAATAGGTCTTTAAGATCAAATGATATGAGGCTAGACTCATTGATAATCATTTCACTCTGAAAGAATGGTGGGACTCTAATGAGATCTTTTTTCTCTAGCTTAAAAAACAGACCATTTTAAAATTAGTATGGTAATTACTTGCATTATAATATCAAATGTAAGAGAATCAATTGTAAAATTTAGCTTATTATAACTTAGACTTGCATTACATGGATGTGGAACCTATTTTCAAAATGAGAATTTATATAAATAAATATAAATGGAGCAGCCTGAGGAAATTTTTAAATGAAAGAAGCAAACTCATTGTGTCAAAATTTTAGGAGTCAATATATGCATTAAAACAACTTCGGTTAATAATATCTTGAATCAATTGCTTGAAGTATTCCAGCAAAAATCAAGTGGCAAATTTTCACCTGCCTTGAAATTGATGCAAAGATTACAATAAATAAAATATTAGATTACAAGCCTCAACCTTGCAGTGTATTTCATGAGAAAACACTTTTTATATTCATATGAGATGTCCATCACTATTGAATATGTCATGGAAAAATTATTCTGTGCGGTCCGGTCGCCGGACGGCATCTGAAGACGAGTCAGAGCACGTCACATCACTTTTTTGTTGCGTACCAACGCGCTCTGATTTACCTCTGAACGCAAAAAATAATTTCTCTAATATATGAGGAATCAGCAAGATCTTCACCTACATTGATAGATCATAAGATGTTAAATGGGCTAAAAAAGCCACCTTAATCCAAGCAGAGCCAGAAGAAATCACACGTTATGAACTTAGATATGATCAAAATGCAAAACCAGATTCCCTGATAACGTTAAGCTGAATAAAATCACTCGATACCAGGGGAAAAAATTTTATAAGGAATCGAAAACGAATTTATATTATATCATAAGAAAACAAAAATGGGAGATTTCGCTGCAACCCTAAATGTGCATCAAACTGCCATTGGAATGTGTTTTATCAGGAGAATAAAAGTCAGAGATAAGTTTCCTATACTTTCCTGCTAACAACATAAAGAGAAGCCTAAAGGCATAGGCCCTGAAAAATGGATGGAAAAGAAGGGGTTCAACAACAAGGATCTGGAATTTCATCTGATAAATTCTCCAAAGCCATCACCAGCTCGGGCTCCAGCAGCAGCATTTGCAGCACCATAAAGTCCTCTCTGCTGCCGCCGACCACGCCGACCCTGTCCGGCGAACTGTCCGCGGCTGCGAGCCAGCTCCAGGGAGATCGTTCGTATCCTCTGCTCCTTGAGATCTGAGAAAAGAGCATCCAAGGTTTTTGGTTTCTGCTTATCCTGCACATTTGATAAGAGCAAATAATTACAAAGGTAAAAACAAAATAACAAAGGTAGTGCGTAACTGGATGAGTATATTTATAAAGCCACCAAAAAAGAAGACAAAGATAGCGCACAACTACACTTCATAGCGCCACTGGAATGACAATAATATCTGTTAATTTTTGCTTCCTTGCAAATCTCTGCATGCTTCCTTGCAAATCTTTGCATGCTTAGTTTGCATAAAATGACTGAATTTTCATTTAAAAAAAATCAAGAGCATTAAATATCATTTCAAACCATTAGATCTTAAAAAATCCTACAAAAAAGTAATAGGCACCCTCTTCAAGACCATAAGACTGTCCAACACCGAAGAAACTAAGCTTACACCATAAGCACTTGCTTGAGACACAAAAAAGTGAGATAGTTAAATTACTTAGAAATTTATTGAATTTGCAGCCTTGTGTTTTATAACTTAGCACATCAGATTCATAGAAAATATTAGAAATGACCTTTCTTTATTAAATTTAAAAGAAAATTTGCCTCTTAACTGGATACAATGGAGAAAAAAGATTCATGTAGCCAAATGTTGTTGTTTTTGTATCAAATTCTTCCTCTTCGTCTGCAAAATTTACTAATCTAGGAATTGAAGCTCTATCACACATGTTGGGCCTAACAAGTTTTCAAAGAGCATCCCTATTTCTCCAATTCTTGAAGATCTTTTCAAAGTACTCCAATATTAAATTAACATTATGAAAATTTAACTTGTCTTTCACAATGCAAATTGACACCCATCTCTCAAAGAAATAAGACACAGCTTAGCTCACTTCCTACTTGCCCAATGTTAATTTATTGATAAACATTTTTGCTCAACAAAAACAAAATTTGAAACAAAGAGATCTTAGGGATAATTATAAAGTTTACTTAAATTATCTTATGGCTTAAGAACAAGCATAAATTTTGTTATAAATTCTACCATATTAATTTGCACCAGAACCAAAAGTTGATTTAATTTTCACCCCCATAAACTCCTATAAAATAGAGTATAAAACTTGAATGTGTGCATGCTTGCAAATGAGGTTAAAATCTCGATTTTTTTTTTTTAATTTCCAAAATCCATGATACAAAATGACATTTCCCAAAACAGCCGCCATATTCATTCAAGGCAAATCACAGAGAGTTGGGTTAGGAGCGTAAGGGATTTATAACCATGTTTAACAGTGAAAGATTATTGATTACAACAAGATAAGCGTTCATCAATCAATAGCCAGAACTATTTACAAAAGAATTGGACTTGATTTATCATTAGGGTTAAGAGAATTAATACCATAGTTCATGAGATTAGATCCTATCGAGTTTTGCCAAATTGTTCAGATGTTTAATTGACAAAGTTAAGACTTGTAATTATGAAATTTGAGCTTAAAAACCCAATTAACCTAATTGAGGTTTAAATCCCTATAATTAATTTTAATAAACTCTCCTAATTAAACCTAAGGTAAAACTATTACCAACAAATAAATCAATTGTAAGACTTTATAATCAATTTCAATAATGCAAAAAAGCACATTATAGCCCATAGTATATAGTAGCACCCACAGGTGATTTTTGTATGACAAGGTGCAATGAAGCAAAAATGGCCAGCACCATATGTGCATATCTCATAGTCTGCTACTTTATTTTTTACTTTATTAATTTATTTATATTGCACATATGAATTTAAAAAATGTGTCAGATGCTAGCTATAGCCATATTCCATGCATCATTTTTTTAGTGATCTAAGCATTCATATTTCTCAAAAAATTTCTCTCTAACTAACTGACTTGCCCTCTCTTAGATAATTTTATTTTGCTCGTCTTATGGATACAAGTACTTACGAAACACCTCAAAAAATATAAATATAATCAAATATGATAGATAAACTATCAAACATATTTCAAGAATTAGCTAATGATATGCTCAAGTTTTAACTAACTATGATTGCTAAAGGGTATGCATCATGCATCCACTTCCCGTTTAACTTTATTCATGATTTACTTTTCTTGTTGTTTCACCATCATTTACTATTAAAGATAAAATATTGAATGAATGAACAAAGATGTTAGATAAAGAATGATTTTTACAAGTTTTAAGCCATGAATCTAAAATGTTTGTTACAAAGTTGACTGAACCTATTTCCTACTTTTGTTGCTTCACCCCTCTATTCCAAACTCATTGGGTCTTCACCTAAATTGTAAAATGTCATGAACTCCTATATTATTCTAAACTGTAAAATGTCATGAACTCTTATATGAAAACCTAAGTTCTGCATTTTCAAACGTACTTGTCATCTCAATATAGGCCTATAGGATTCTGACATGTAAAATGCTAAGAGAAATGCATTGAACTAACAAGTAGTGAAATTAATCTCTCTTACAATAGAAGATTAATCAAAGTTAAGCCATGAATTTTCCACCCAAATTTGTGGGACAACAATTGATTAGTTAAGCCATGAATTACCCAATTGATGCGTGTTATGTATGATGCGGACATCTGACGGTGGACATTAAAGAGATGACGATCAACGGCTTAGATCCCTCCATTTTATCTTAGTTTTTTAATTGCATTTTTTATTTAATTATGCATTTTCCATTTTTACCCTTACTTAAGGGTCTTGTCTAATGTAAGCCCAAGGGGAAAAGTTGTGTTTTGGTTTCTTTTAAGACCTATATATAGAGGTCATTGCTCTTGTATTAGATCAATGATGAATTAATAAAAAAATTGTTTCTGCAATTTGTTCTTGAGAGCGATGGGAATTCTTAGGAGAGTGGAAGTCCCTATGTAAGCGCAATGAACTATCCACCAGTCGCAGGATGTGTCCGGGCTCATGGTTGATGTCCCTTAGTGAAGGGCAACGCATCACCCGTCAGCCACAGGAAGTGTTCGGGCTCACGGTTTATTTTCTCTCTAATCCCTCACCTGCTCCTTTAACCGCCGAGTAAATCTTCCTTTAGTCATCGGCTTTCTACCTCCCATCCTCTTCCCCACCACCGGCCACCCACCACCTTTCCTTTTCAGCCGTCGGCCACCACCCTCCCCCAACTGCCAGTCTCCTCCCCATCTCCACCGTAAAACCCCACCAACCGCCACCTTCTCCACCAAGCCGCCACTTCCCTTAACCCTCTCATCCTAGTTTTCTTCTTTCCTATTTGGATTTGTTTTAATTTTGGAAAGTTTTTTAATTTAAATTTTAAATCTTTTCCTAAATTAGTTTCTTATTTTAGGAAAGTATTCCAATCAAAGTATCAAACATATTTCAAATTCCAATAGGATTTGATTTAAATACTCCCTCCTAATTTAAGATTCCCCACTTGGAAAACTTTAAATCACCAAATTAAGAGGCCCATTAATTTTCCCCTAATTAAGCCTCCAATCCCACCAATTACTTCCACCTCTATGGCTAAATTAATTTAAGCATTTTGAATTTAATTCCCTCCTATTTCAAATTCAAAATTCTGAAATTGAATTTCCCTCCAAAAGCTGCCGCCCAACCCAAACCCTACCTACTCCTCCTGGCTGTCGGCTTTAACCCCGCCCTTTTCCCTCCTAAATTTATTCTTTCCTAAATTAAGTCGTTTTAATTTTGGTTAGTTTTTGAATTCAAATTCAAACGAATTTGAAATTTCAAATTCTTTCCTAAATTATTTAGTTTAATTTTGGAAAGTCTTCTCTCAATCAAGAAATGATTAAATCTAAAATTGATTGGGAATCAATTCAAAATTCCTATATTCATCGAACCTAGTCACGTCTTCCTACATTCATCGAACCTAGACACTTCTCTCCCCTCCTTTGGTCGGCCCCCATCTCTTTCTCTCCCTCCTAAATTAATTAATTCCTCAATTGGATATCCACCCAGGGAAATTAATTAACCAAGCCCCCCTTCGAGAGTTCTATATCAATGTATAAGGAGGATTGACTTCACACAAAAAAAGCAATTTACCAAACCCCTGGTATTTATGAAGCTATTGAAATTACCTTAGACAAGAAATCCAAAATTATACAAACACTTCAGTTATTTGTTTGATAATACTTAAGTATGATATTGCATCAAAAAGCAACCTTAGGCACAAAATAATGATGTGAAGTAAGAAAAACAAATGGCATACACAAGGCCATAAATGACTTACAAACATCAACAGCAATGCTACTGCACCAATAGAGAGCCAACACAATGTCCATTTGGTCCCAAACTCAAGCTCACTTAATCACTTTCATTGATCAAGGATTGTGAATTTGGCTTGAAGGTCAAAGATTGCTAAAAAATAAGATTACTACTTTCTCAAATCAAACTCAAAAAGCTAACTAATGAGCCAAACATAGCTCAAATTAATCTTGATTTGAGCTACATCCCAAATTAGATCAAGCTAGCTCGAGATGGGATAAAAGTATAAAACAATTTATGCTTGTATGTAAAAGTACATACATATACACATGTTTATGTATTTATTTAGATTTGAATGAATATACAACACATTAGAAAAAGAACTTTCCATGGACGATTTTCAACGTGAATCAAACTAAACGAAGTTAACAAACTATGTCTGACTCAAATCTAGGTCAAATCGAGCAATTGGCTTCTGAGTCATTCGTTTCATGATCAAATCTACTTGTGGTCTGATTGTCAATGTCCCTAAATAGACCCCAAGCAATCCAAGATGACTGAAATGTGCCTCCAATGGAAGCAATTTATCAAAAAAAAATTATCATAATATCTCAAGGAGTTGACTCAAACGCATATAGTGTCAACCTGATTGATTATGAAGCTAGGCCAAGGACTGATGCATGCCCGTCAGCAGGCCTTGAAGTATATAAATGCCTAAAAGAAGTAAGTAGTAGACATATAAAATGGAATGAGTATCTTTAATATTGCACCTTCGTCTTGAAGCATATGCATGGCATTCAAAATAAACCAGTGGATGCACTATCCCAAATTTTCTTGATTTTTACTTCTATGTAGATTAATGTACCTAATTTTAAGAGAATTT